GATTCAAATAGCTCAGGCTGTCCTCAAACTCACTTGCACTTAGGAGGCCGTTCAAATCCTAACCCTCCTGCCTCTACCTTCCAAGTGCTGGGATTACAGATGTACACCACAGCACCCAGCCAAGAGCTCTGTACTTCGAAATACTAAGTTTTCCACCAAATGTTTAACAGACATGACTAATCATTTGACTGCCAACTATATAACCTGGCATGAATCTGACCATAAAGAAGGAGAAAATTCATGCCAGCACACAGTAGGTTCCTTGAAATATCTGGGCCTCACTCCTAGACCACATGTCAGATCTCTGAGAAAATTTAGGAATCCCTGTAGGGGACTCTAACATGCAGTCAGGGTTGAGGATGGCTGCCTGGATTTCCCTTTTCAGGTGAGCACCATTCTCTGAGTCAAATGACACAGGCTTTAAGGCCAAATGAAAGCCCACAGTGATGGATCTGTAAATGCATGGAGTTACTTCTCACGAACACCGACGGATCACAAAGAAAAAGCCGTGTTGTGCACCACAATCAAGAGCTTGAATGTGATTGAACAAAAACATATGCAGTGATTAACACACAATAATTCAAAGAGTCCCAGACATCAAGTGGATATTCAGTAACTGTCCCTGGGAAAATGCCTGAATGAATGGTACCCCACAAAGTACAATAAAAATTGTATTTTGGTGAAACTGGGAGTCAGTTGTTGGATGAAGGATCACCGATAAAGAAAATGATTTAAATTGTGTCATGCTGTCAGCTACAGATACACCCTAATTTAAAAGATGTTAAAAACAAAACCGGGCCGGGCGGTGGTGGCGCACACCTTTAATCCCAGCACTCGGGAGGCAGAGCCAGGCGGATCTCTGTGAGTTCAAGGCCAGCCTGGGCTACCAAGTGAGTTCCAGGAAAAGGCGCAAAGCTACACAGAGAAACCCTGTCTCGAAAAACAAAAAAAACCCCAAAAAACAAAAAAACAAAACCGGGAAATGAATGGAAGGAAGGTGAAACACAGTATTTAAACGTGTTTTCCTCCTCTTTGGCGCCAACCGTTAAACCACTGATGTCCACTAGATGGTGCTGTGATCCACTCTTTCAGGCTCCAAAAGGAACTCTGAAAGCCAAGTTCTGGAAGCACGCTGCTCCATTTGAAGACAAAAGATTTCGAGGCTTCATAATTTGAGGCACCGAGGTGTTTTACTTCTCTGCGTTATGGTCTCTCCGAAATATCTCACTACATGTCAACTTCTTTAGAAAGTGAACTGAAAAGCTGTTCTGTCTGGATAGAGAGTAGTTGCTTCCTTTTATCCACACTCCCGACTTGACAATCACTTGCATTTTACTGACTGGTCTGGGATGGGCTGTGCAGAGGGCATCTAAACACCGACAGAAAAGGCTGATGCTGGATTAGAATAAAACACAAAGTAATAGTGAGTGAAAAAAAATGTGGCTTCTTCTGTCCCAAAGGCAGCAGATCTGTCTACTCTGCTCCAATTATTCCCAGCTTATCACGGACAAGCAAGGGAAAGGGGAAGTTGGTCGGTTAAATGTAAACCACCCACTGTTAGTGAGAGTATTGGCCTTCTAGGCATTCAAAACCCAAATTTTCCCCGTCAGGAATGTATCACTACCTTGGCCTTAGGGATGTAGGCTTCAGGGCAGAATGAAAACCCTGGAAGCTTCCAGAGATATACTTAGAGTAACAACAGCTCAGTAACCTCCACTGGGCGGGGCAAACATTGGAAGCAATTAAAACTCCCATAGTAAATTAACAGAGTAATGTGAAATCTAATGAAAAGAAATCGGGGGACTAGGAAATACATAGCATTGCTTAGCCCTTGAGAAGCCTTGATTTTAATACAACCCCCCCTCTCATTCTCTCTCTCTCTCTCTCTCTCTCTCTCTCTCTCTCTCTCTCTCTCTCTCTCTCTCCCTCCAAAACAACCATCAGGCAGGGCTGCAGAGCTGCCTCGGTGGGTTAGGAGCACCCACTGTTCTTACAGAGAACCTGAGTTCAGCTCCCAGCACCCAAGGCCTGCAGCACCCAACTGCCAGCCCCTCTAGCTCCAGGGGATCTGATGCGATCTTCTGGCCTCTGGAGGTATCTGCACACACTTGCACATACACACAGACACAAACACATAAATAAATAATAAGTCTTAATAAACAAAAAAAACCCTGAACAACAACAAAATCCCATTTTGTGTATATTTTTGTTTGCTTAAGTAGTGGAACAAATACTCACATATTTTGTCTAGCCCTTCAAAGAAAAATAACTTCCAACATACTAGGTTATAACCACTGATACTGATAAAAACATCGTAACAAAATGTCTCTCTTCCTTGTGTGTGTGTGGTATATATATGGGTGTATACATATGGGTGTGTGTGTGTGGTATATATATGGGTGTATACATATGTGTGTGTGTGGTATATATATGGGTGTATACATATGTGTGTGTGGTATATATATGGCTGTATACATATGGGTGTGTGTGGTATATATATGGGTGTATACATATGTGTGTGTGGTATATATATGGGTGTATACATATGGGTGTGTGTATGCATGTGTTCACATGGATGTGCATGTGTGGAGACCAGAGACTGATGCCACAGGTCTTCCGTAGTTTTCCTTCCTCGTACTCTTTGAGGCAGGGTCTCTCACTGAACCAGAGCTCATCTCTTCTGCTAGGCTGGTCGACAGCCTTCAGGGATGCACTGGTCTCTGCCCCTCTAGTGCTAGGGTCACAGGTGTGTGTCAGGGGCCCAGGGCTTCCCGGGATCATGGCCACCATAGGTGAAAAAGCCCAGGGCAACTGACCAAGTATTTAATTTCACTGTAGAACTAAAACAGAAGGGAAAGATCATTGTTGACGTGTCCCTGCTTTATGAGAGGGAGCGTGTTAGCAACCACAGTTGCCTAACGTTTTAAATGGGGTGCACATGGCTCCTAGTGAATTCCATTCTGCACAGTACTGATTCATTATGATGCCATTGGCCTCAGAAATATTTTCCTTAAGAGTCATATATAATTCCCATGTATACATATGAATAAACAACACACACACACACACACACCAACATACACACCTCAGGCTGCACGTTCTCAGGCAGTGAGAGCTGGAAACAGCAATTCTTGTCTATTCTGGAACTCTCAGCCCAGTGCTGCCAAGAGTTTAGAAGGTTCTGTGAACACATTCTCTACTCCACCCTAGTCTTTCTTCTGCCTCCTGGGGTGTGTTCTAAGGGGTAGTTTTGAGCCACAGCTGTGGGCCTTGCCCCGAAGAGGCAAGGGAAGAGCATACTACTGCATGTCAAAAAGCTAGTTTCCATGCAGCTCAAGTTGCCTTCATGGAAATGATGGAGAAGGCCAAGACAAAGTTTAGCAAGCTGTGGGGGTGGGAAGGGGGTGGTTTTTGTATCAAAAGTAGTGCTGTAAAGGCCGGAGGGGTAACTGGGAAGATCTGAAGGGGAGGATCAGGGGAGGAAGTCAGGACAGAGCTTATGAGACCCAAAGAACCACAAGCATCCTTCCTGACTCTCATGCACTGTCCAGGTCATGTTCCATCAGATGTGCTGTGCAGTTCCAGAGAGCTCCGGTGGGAAAGGGAAGGGGCAGACACAGAGCTTTCCCCTACAAGAACAGCCTCCTCGTGCACTTGAAAAGAAGCCACATCTTTGAGTCAGGGTGGTCCAGCTGAGTGGTCCAGACCAGTAGTGAGAGGAGATGGGATACTCTTGCCCCATAGTCACGCCCAGGGGGGTGGGGAGGGACCAGGGAAGAAGTGTGGCATCTGGAAGCACCTGGAGTCAGGAGGTAGACCCTTGCCCAGTCCGCTCCAGAGCATAGCCTTGTCTGGCAGGTGGGTGAGATTAGTTGTGGGGCTTTTGTTTTGCTGAGAGGTGGTACAAATTCTTGCCAGGAATGTATTCTCTGGAGACTATGGGGAGGCTGCAGCTACCTGCCCTGGGGCCTTTCCTCCTGCTGAGCCCTCCATTTATTTACTTAGTGACCTGGGCCTTTCGTCTAAGTAAATATTGAACAAATCTTTAAAAACCACGGGTTTAAACAATGTCACAGAATTACCTTGCTTCAACATGGCCCCAGTCATGGCTGCTTTTCCTTCTGTTTACGTCCTGACTTCCCACGGCTAAGCAGGAGAGGGCTCCTACTGCTAAGGTGGGACAGCTACCCCCCTGCACATGATGGGCACTTCCAGATGTCAGCCACCTACGGGAGCCCCCACAAGGGGAAGCCAAGCTGGTGAATGTACCCTGGGATTGGAAAGTGAGAATGACCATTTGCCTGTTTGGGGTAGAATTGGGAGAAGGATAGACGTATGATGGATCGTGCTGACCGCAGGGACGCCGCAGCGAGGCCAGGGGGAATAGTTTCAGCCTCAGAGTGAAGAGGAATCATGGGTAAGTGTCTCTTGAGGAACTCTCATGAGGGAGTGTGAGTGGTAGAGGGAGAGGTACTGTTTAACCAGTGCAGTCCACACACAGAAAACCCGTGTTCGCTGAAAACGTCCACAAGGCAGTGCTTTTAAACACACACCTTTCAAACCCAAACTCTGTCTCCTGGCCACTTACACCTCCTGTCAAGCCCCCAAGATCTTGAGGGGGAAGCTTATACCCTGCTGCCGCCGCGCACGTCCCCTGGGCCTCACTGGGGATGTCTGTGCTCTACTAGGGCAAGGTATAGGAACACCCAGAACCTAGTTTCGTCCAGGGTTCAGCTGGGTTCTTGGCCCGTCATTCTCAAATGTGCCAACCGTGGCTCCGTGTCAAAGGAACCCAGGGCTCTGGGGACAGTCACCAGACCAGAAATACCGAGCGGCAGAGGGAGCTGCCTTCGGACGGAACCCGGCTCGCTATTTTCTTTCCTTTTGGCCATTTCAGCTTTGAGTAGGAACTGGAATAAGAGTTATAATGATACATGTTTATGGACTTTAAGTAATTAATCCCTCGGAGTCCTCTTCTGAGGGAAAAGCTTGCTACCCACCTCATACATCAGGCAAGCAAGAGGCCATGTGGCTTGGCGGGGCTGGGTGGTCGCTGGTGTCAGTAGAAGAGTAGAGAGTGAGCCTTCAACAGTCTGCGGCGGCGTCTTGGCCCTTGTCCAGACGGCTGGCCCATGCAGCCCCTAGAAAAGTGACACACGAGAAACTGAAAAGGACCAGACCATAAACTCGCAGGAGCAGTTGCCTTTAGTTAGGAGGTGAGGGTTCTGCGGCCCTGCCTGGGTCTCTTCTCTTTGAGGTACAGGCTTGGAGAGGACAGAAGCCACCACACCAGGCGCTCACCCAGGGCTCATGGATAGTTGCTGTATTCTGTAAAGACGCCCCTTGGAAGGAAGCTCCAAGGGACTGAATCCTAGGGTGCATGGCCTTGTGGTCCAATACAGGGAAATATTTGTTGAAACATCCACAGAGTCTCAGGGACACGAGTTACAGGGACAAGGCTTTCTTGGTAACACTGAGCATGCTGTCCCCAACCTGCTTAAGAACATTCTTTTCTTTCTTTCTTTTTTTTTTTTTTTCTGAAGCTGAGGACCGAACCCAGGGCCTTGCACTTGCTAGGCAAGCGCTCTACCACTGAGCTAAATCCCAGCCCCTTGTTTTGTTTTTAAAGACAGGATTTCTCTGTATAGCTTTGGTGCCTGTCCTGGAACTCACCCTGTAGACCAGGCTGGCCTCAGACTCGCAGAGATCTGCCTGGCTCTGCCTCCCGAGTGTTGGGATTAAAGGCGTGCGGCACCTCTGCCTGGCTCTTACTTTTATTTTTATTTTTTTAAATTTACTTGTGAGGGGCTTGTAGACATTTATATTTTAACATCGATGATGCTGAACACCATCAACTTTATGTTTAATTTTCCTCAGAGACTGTGTTGCCAGACCAGCCCTTTAACTCGGCAGGACAGCCAGGTGTGAGGTGCGTGGTGGCTCACGCATCAGGCCGGCTCTTTATTGAAAAGGGGTCCACAGCCTGGTCCTAAGCAAGCCATCCAGATGACGGCACACAAACACCGGTAAAGTGAATAAATAAATGAAGCAAGCCAGCTCAGATCCTTCAGGCTCCACCATTCCCACCTCCGGCTTCCTGTTCTAGCTGCTCTATGGCCATGGCTACACTGACTTCCTCTAGAGGTCCTGGGAAGAAAGAACCTTCTAGAGACTCATATACAGTCTCCACGCTCCCCAAGCTACCCGTGGTGCCTTAAGTAGGTGATAACCACGTTTTCACTTGATCCTGTCTTGTCTGTTTGCAGAGCTACTTTTCTGGACAGATTGGAGAGGGCTGATGGGATGCAGATGAGAGAAGAGAAACCACACTCTTCAACAGCTGCGTCGAGGTAGGGGAGACGGCAGAGGCACAGGGAGATGTTTGGAGAGGACCCTCCATACCCAGTGGGTGGAGACCCTAAAGCTTCAGGTCAGTCAAGGGGTCCAGGTTGGATCCCCATCAAGAATGGCTAATGTTTGGAAGCTCTATGTTGTTGTCTCACTGAGGGCTCCACCCGAGTCCACACTGAACGTTCACCTAATCTCAGTCCCTCGCTTCCTTGTATTATTGTCCATCTTACACATGTGGGTACCCTGGTTCCCCAATTCAGCTGTAAATGTCTTAGTAGTCCAGAAGATAATTCTCACAATCGATATTAATAAAAATGACTGATTTAAAAGTCCTGTATACTATCGGCTGAGAGATACAGACTAATTTTAGCCTCTTTTCCATACCTTGATCTCCTCCCACCATGCCCATTTCCTCTCATCTGGAGCATCCTTCCTGATGTGGAGGCATCTGGAAGCCATGTGTTTCTTTTCTTTGCTCCTCCATGTGGTCATTTTTTTTTTTTTATGACTGCAGGAAGCTGGGTAGATTCAGAAGTACAAGGAGCCACACCAAGACCTGAGATGACCATCCTCAGTGTTATCAGGATGGAACAACAGCATTTGCTTGGAGAGAGAGGCTGCCCCTCGAAGCTCATCCAGTCATGAAGTCGGTTGGTCTGTTTGGGCTGAAAGCCTCATATTGAAGCAATTTCTCCCAACCAAAGGGTCTACAATAGGTTCAGTCATCATCTACTTGATGTAGTTTTGACTGCCTGGAGAAACCTGGGAAGGATTATCAAGAGTGTGTCTGGCATATGGCTCTATCCCAAATCAACAGTTTGTGAACACTATTAGTAACCCTTGAAACTGTTCTCTGGGAAGAGCTAGTTTTTAATGACTCTGCCCAGATGCTCCTGTGGGGAGCTGTATGGCGGGATAATGGGGAGCTTCATAAGTAGCCAGCTGCTCTAAGTTGAGGGCTTGCCCAGGGGATGGAGACGGTGTGCCCTGCTGAACCCAGGACCGTTGTTTAAGGAAGAATGGAGATGAAGCACTTTGCTCGGCTAAGAGTTGACTTGTGTCTCTGCTGAAACACGGAGTGACGAAGAGGAAGCTGAGGCCCCTCAGCTGGCCGTGAGCAGGGCTCCAGCAGAGGCAACCAGGGATGGTGGGACAGCTCCATGTGGTCAGGGAGAGGAGATCTTTGCTTCAGTAACTGCTAGTTGGCTTTCATTTGTAGGACAATACTGCCTGAGAGCACATGGAGACAGAAAGATTGCTCCCGAGGGTTATGTTCTAACTAGGGGATTATTGACATTGACATGATTCTTGACATCTTGGCCTTTACTGACCAACTAGTTAAAATAAATGGCAATGGAGTGTCCACCTGATGGAGTAATATTCAGCCAGTCAGATGAGCGAGGCAAATAAATGCCTCAGGCAGTTGAGAGTGCTTATGCTCTTGCAGAGGACCCAGGCAGCTCACAACGTCCCGTAACTCCAGCTCAGGGACCTGGGGCCCTCTCTGGCCTCTGAGGGCACCTGCACACATGTGACATACTCACATGCAGACCTGCTCCCATAAATAAAAACCAGATCCTTAAAATGATTGAAGTACAGAGGCCTGGAAGATGGCTCAGCCTTTAGGAGCACTGGATGCTCTTCCAGAGGATCCAGGCTTGACTCCTAGTACCCACTTGGCAGCTGGCAACTGTCCACAACTACAGACCCAGGGGATACAGCGCCCTCTTCTGGCCTCTGTGGGCACCAGGCATACAGTTGCACAGACACACATACATGCAGGCAAAATACCCCTTGTACGTAAAATAAAATAAGTAAATCTAATTTAAAAATAAATTTAAAAATAAATGAAGTATATTTATATGTGCCGAGTTAGGTGGGGAAAGGCAAGTAGCAGGACAAGATGCCATGTGTAAAGATTAAAACACATTAAAGTACATGCACGTGTGTGATCATGCATGTCTCTACACAAATCCATGAAGGGAAGAGCCAGAGCTCCTCCTGGGAGGTGGCTCAAACGACCTTCCTATGAGAAGGCAGTCACCCTCCATCCCAAGGACAGTCACCTTCCTTCCTAGGCACAGGAGGCACAGCCAGAGATAATGTTAGCATTCTCCTGGATCTGGAGAGTGTCGGCTGGAGGTTTGGAAGGCACTACCCTGGGCAGAGCCACGCCCTCTCTTAGCTGCGGGTTTAGAGGGTTGATAGAGCAGAACCTGGACCAAGCTATGAGGCTCTGTCCCCGAGGGAATCCCCAAATTCCTGATTCCCAAATCAGGAGCCCTGATGACTTGCACTGTTTTGTTTTGGTTTGTTTTTTTGTTGTTTTGTTTGTTTTTGAGACAGGTCTCACTGTGTTTCCCTGGCTGGCCTGGAACTCTCTATATAGACCAAGCTGGCCTTGAACTCACAGAGATCCACCTGCCTCTGCCTCCATAGTACTGCGACTAAAGGCATGTCAGGATAATAAGCTCTGGCCACCAAATGTTTTTTTAAATTGTGAGAGAAACCCAGCAGATCAGAAACACCTACGGATTTAAAAGGTTTTGAACTAAGGTGGCTTCTACCAGTATGTTGGATTTGGGGACCTGAAGGGAGAGCAGGGAGATGATGTCTTATTGGCGTTGCCTGTGTGTGAGAGAGAAGGAGGCAGAGGGGTGGGGAGAGGTAGGAGAGAAGGGAAGAGAAGAGAGGGAGATGGTTCCTCAGGCGAGGAGAGGAAGGCTGGTTTCCACCAGGGCTCTGCATTCCTGCCCTCACACAGAGGCATCTGTTTCCACCACTGGTCTTGCCTCCAATTTGAAATTGATCACCTTGCTTACTTCTCAGAATGGAGTCAAAGCAGGCACTGCTCCAATGCCAACCTTGGCACTGTAGGCGTACAAAGTCCAGGCTGGGCTTTCAGACTGGGATCTGCAGAACTCAAAGGCAGCTACCATGCTGTGAAAGGCCTTCAGGGGCCTTGAATCCTCAACCCAAATCTCAAGCTTATACCCCTTATCAAAAGCAAACAAACACACTAACTCCTGTAAATGGAGGCTTTTTTCCATCCCGCTCGGTCCCACAGCTGCTTCCAAATAATCACTCAGAGGCTTGTATTAATTATGAATGCTTGGCTGGTAGCTCATGAGACTCTTAATCACAGGTTTTATGTGGAAATTTCAGCCACATGTTGGAACACCATATGTAATTGCAAGTTTCTGTCCTGCCAGTAACTCCCAAATATCCAGCAGCTACTTCCCAAATAATTGACTTGGAGGCCTAATATTATTTATAAATGTTTGGCCGATAGCTCAGGCTTATTACTAACTAGCTCCTACACTTAAATTAACCCATAATTCTTATCTATGTTTAGTCACCTGGCTTGGTACCTTTTTTCAATGTAGCATTCTCATCTTGCTTCCTCTGCATCTGGCTGATGACTCCTGACTCTGCCCTCTTTCCCGTCATTCTGTTTGGCTTTCCAGCCTAACTTCCTGCACAGCTACTGGCCTGTCAGCCTTTTATTAACCAGTGAGAGTAATCTATATTCATGGTGTAGAAAAGGATTGTTCCACAGCAAACTCCCAGCAAAGAGATGTGGGGATGTGGGGAAATTAGAACCTTCGACACCATTGGAAGGAAAGTCAAATAGCACGGTCATTGTGGAAAACAGCTAGAGATTATTTAAAAAAAAAAAAAAACCAAAAAAACCGAAATTCAAAATAAAAAACCCATGCACAGAATTGCCTCCAGACCCACCAGTTCCCCGCTAGATGAGATCTAAAGCAAGAGTGCAGACTTGCACACC